TAGAGCTACCACTGAGTCGTTTATTGGTTTGCTATACACTTCTCAAGGTTGTTGCATAATTAGAACTTATTAGAACAACCATTTTTACAAAGAAACAAAAAAAAAATTATTTTTTTATTTTTGGTAATTTGTTGAATTCATGAAATCATCTACAGAATATTGAAATGATAACACAATAATTATCACAACACAACAAGACGTTGACAACACATTGTGAGTGATTCATTACGTTAACATTCCAGGATGAGTGATTTCACAGGTTGCATCATTTACACAAGGCAGGCTTGTGATAACTGTTACTATAGCTACAATGTACAAAGAAAATAAAGAATCATTATCGCTGCCATGGTAACCTCATTTTTTATTACCTTGAAGTGGTTGTTGACCCCTTTGTGTCAATTTTATTCGTTTGACGACTGAAACGTCACAATAACAAGTGTCGCTGTTTGTATTTTTTCATTCTTGATATCTGAGCTCTGACTGTGAAAAAGAATTTGTGATTCTGTCTGATATTAAGAGTGATATAAATCCAGTTATTTTCTGTACTCGGAAAGTGATGAACACTTAATCTTTGTCAGGGCACGACTGTTAGAAATCTGGGGAAAATAGCAGTCCATGTTAATGAAAAGTTGAAACATATTACAAGAACGGATTTTGCAATATTGAAATCAAAATGGCTACATCAGAAATCAAGTTTACAATGCCGAGAATATCAACGCAGAACCCTGTTTCCATGGAAACAAACAAGATTTTAATCTACAAATGTATTTTTATATGCATTTCCGTCTTACTTGAAGTATTATCAATAGTATGTTCTCAATTCCCATTATTTATAGCATATCTGTGTCAACTTCAAATCCCCCCAAATGGTCATCCTATTTTCTTTGCGGTTTTGTCAAGGCTTTGATCAGTTTCTTAAGCAGTAACAGTGATGTCTTTTCCAAAGGCCCCCTAACTCAGTATAGTTTGGCAAGACCTTGTAAGGCAGGATTTTTTTTTTACTTCCCAAAGCATCCTGGTAATTGGAAACATTCAAATGAGATAAAACTTTTATATACCACAAGAATATGAGATAAGATTCTTGACTTTTTTGAGCATAAAATATTTATATTCATAATCTTGAGCCTGTGTTGCTGGGACATTATGATAATGATGAATTTGTCTGGTAATATATACCCAGTAGCAATACCATTATCAGAAATATCATCTTTGATTGGTGTTACCCATAGGGCTATTTTTAGATGGTTCTAGGTTTCTTGAAAAAAAAAGATGCAGTGATGTGGGTTTTTTTTATTATTTTTTCTTAAAATTTTGGACAAAATTTTCCACCGACTACAGGTCTCAATCTAGTTAAAATATGGAAAAAGTGATAATTATTTGTAAAATTGATAAAAGTTGACTTTAGGTATTCAAGAAATTACACAATAAATCTCCAATATAACTAAGTCGATTAAAAGTACTGGGTTCATGCACACATCAGCCAACTGGTGTACACTGTTGACATACAAAGCGCCCTCTAGCATGCACCCTCAAAAATACAATCTGTTGATTCCTGGTAAGGTGATTCAGAATCGTGGTATACAGTTATAATTATTTAGATGACAGCACCTAGATGAATTCACACACTGTCACTAATCTTTATTCCTTGTGCATACTAATATACTTACCATCAGATTTGTTCATTTTATGACGATAATTTCAGTTCTTTATTTTTTATAAATATTTTTGTAAAAAAAAAATGATATTGCAATTTTCGCTCAAATATAACTAGCCCAATTTCCGTGATATTTGACATGTACCTAGGGTGGATCGATGTCATATTTTTTTCATTTGTGACTATAATTTTAATTCTGTAATTTAAGTTAATATTTTTTTTCCATAAAATATGAGATTATTAATGCTGATAATCCCAAATACTGCTATTAAATTCTGAATTCTGTAAATCAACATATATGATAGCAGAACTGTCTTGACTGACAATTTGAGTATTTTACAATTCATATTATGACTGTCATTTTGGAACACAATTAGAATCTATGAGTTAAAAAAACAATTACATTTCCAATTTTCATAATAATGAAGTCAAGAGAAATAACATTCAAGAACAGTCGCAATAAAAAACGAAACATCAGACAGCATCTGATACCAAAGAAATTAAACAGTTGTTTGTTTCATGATATACAACTGAAATATACAAAAGCACTTAATAAAGCCAATTTTAGTTTACAGTAACATCGTGTACATCACTCGAACACAGGGCATTATTTTCACTACAAATATATAATTACAAGGATTTAAAGCTGTCGCCTCTATATTTTGATTGACATGTAAAGTGATTTGTGTCGTATAATTCCAACAGGTCATACAATGACAAACTTATAAAGAAATGAAGAATATTATGAAAAAGGGATGGTTATTAATAATTTTAAAATTGGCGATGCTGAATTGTCAAATTCAAAAATATGTTACAGCAGAAGCTATATGGGAATAAGGACAAGTATGATATTTCACCGTCACCTCAATTTACCGAGCTGATTCTGTATTCATACGCTACTTTAAAATATGTAGTTAATGTATAGCCAGTCAACTATATAGCTTGTAGAATGCTTAATATATGCAGTTTATGTCACTTTGGTATATAATTATTTTCACAGAATATCAACTGATATTGACATGGGTTGAGAGTTCACTCTGTAATTTAGACTACCATTATTTCGTCTCATTGCTTTTCAAATGTCACCATGACAACCCAATTCTCTCATTTCAATAGAAAATAACAAAACAAAAACTGACATCACCGTTTGATGAATTATCTTCAGTAATTTTTACAATTAAATTTCAGCTCATATTGATAACTCGAAATGATAAATGTACGTCTTTATAATGGACAATTTGGTACCTTACAAAACATGCACCAACGAGTATGGCACGATTATCACGAGTGAGATTTATGAAACTCGCAATTACATCAATTTGCAAGGAGAACAGGGATTGGTTCCAATTCTTTGCACATCATTAAGCCTTGTCTGCTCCAAGGATTTATTTTTTTCTCCATTTCTATGTAAATAAAGATTTATTTGTACATCTGACAAAAGCCTTTTCAGGGTTAACTAAAAAACCACAATGAAACAGACTAATGCAAAGTGATCAGAATCGATCTAAAATGCAGAGATAAGAACTGTAGCGCTATCTCGCCATACTGCACTATGACGTTCACCAGGAACTACGTATGTGTTTTGTAGTTACTATGGCAACCAAAAATGGCTGACAGGTTATTCATGTACATGCAGTTCTTCGGGAAAACTATAGCCTCAAGCATTGTCATAGACAATAATAATACTGCTGAAAGCAACTTTTTAAGTCAAAATTAAATAGAGAACTAATTGGAAATTTAATGTATAAATTTGATTATAAATTAAGAGAAAGGCTCTATTTATTGTGTGAGTGGAATATACAACGTGCTATCAAGCAAATATTATTCACAGTAGCAAATATAATTATACAAAATTCACATATTGAAGCGAATGAGAAAATAAAATCGATAAAAGTAATAAACTCAAGTAAATGTTTGAAGTGTTGCCATGGTGAATGTTATCATAAACCAATACATGAAAATTTTTTAATGAAGGGGGACCGGGCGAAAGTAGATGAGAATTAGTGTTTGAGATGATTTACAGATCATAGCAAGGTAAGAACGTTCAGCGATGGTCACGGAAAACGCGTTCAGATTTTGTGTAAACAATGTATTTTAGTTCTGTATGTCCCATATGGGTGCCATTTCAAACATGCCACGACCGAAGCGCTTTAAACAAATATGTGCAATGATTCGCACTTTTCATACAAGACTTATGCTAGGATCAGCACTGGTACAAACAAGAAAAATACACTTTTATTTTTGCAACAACCAAAATTATGACAATGACCTTCTTACTGGTAAAGTTTCCACAACTCTAAGCAGCATGGCATGAATAAACAAGCAGCCTAAGATAGCTCTGCTGTTAGCACTGCACATTTCAATTAAAGAACAGAAGATATCATTAGAAAATGAACAATGTGTATAGTATCAAAGCAATCAGACTTTCTGTTTTCAACAAGAATTCGAAAATATCACTTTTCACCAAAAATGACACAAATATTCACCAAAATTGGAGAATTGAAGATATCATCACAAAATGAACAAATTTGAGAGAGGTCCACATGTTTTACCTATATATAAATATACCGGTAATAGCAAAGCAGCAGACTTACAGTTTTTAACAAGAAGTCGAAAATATCACTTTTTACCAAAAATGACACAAATATTCACCAAAATTGGAGAATTGAAGATATCATCACAAAATGAACAAATTTGAGAGAGGTCCACATGTTTTACCTATATATATATATATACCGGTAATAGCAAAGCAGCAGACTTACAGTTTTTAACAAGAAGTCGAAAATATCACTTTTTACCAAAAATGACAAAATATTCACCAAAATTAGAGAACTAAAGATATCATCACAAAATGAACAAATCTGAGAGAGGTTCACATGCAGTACCTATATATACAATATGAAAGCAATCAGACGACGACGGTCAATCAGTAATATGAACAGCTTTGCTGCGTCAACTTTGTCGACAGCGGGGCTAAAAAAATCAAACCAACAGTTGAGTTTGATAAATTATAACACATGTATCAGATCAGTAATAAAAAAACTAATATATTTAAATAAATTCACTTCAATTTATTCTAGACATATATTTATTGAGACATCATTGAAATAAATTCCTCAATAATACCCGCTGATCTTACTTTCAAGTAAAATAACCCATAATAATCACAGCACACATTGATAAGGATCAATGTTAGCCTTTATTTATTGCTTTGCAGACTGAACCTCTCAAAATTTGACTGCAGGTCAGAAATTATCTCTTATGTTCACTGATCTCTGGAGTTATCTCAAGTCCCCTTTTGACATCACTCATTGTGAGATATTGGCCATTGTGAGATTCTGAGAATATGGGATCAGATTCTGGGAATATGGCATCAGATTCTGGGAATATAGCATCAGCTTCTGGGAATATGGCATCAGATTCTGGGAATATAGCATCAAATTCTAGGATTATGGCATCATATTCTGGGAATATGGCATCAGATTCGGGGAATATGGCATCAGATTATAGGAATATAGCATTAGATTCCGGAAATATGGCATCAGATTATAGGAATATAGCATCAAATTCTGGTATTATGGCACATTCTGGGAATATAGCATCGGATTCTGGGAATATGGCATCAGAATCTGGGAATATAGCATCAAATTCTGGGAACACACAGGTACAGATTCCGGGAATTATGGCATCAGATTCTGGGAATATAGCATCGGATTCTCGGAATATGGCATCAGATTCTGGGAATATAGCATCGAATTCTAGGATTATGGCATATTCTGGGAATATGGCTTCATATTCTGGGAATATGGCATCAGATTCTGGGAATATGGCATCAGATTCTGGGAATATGGTATCATATTCAGGGAATATGGCATCACATTCTGGGGATATGGTATCAGATTCTGGGAACACAGGTACAGAATCTGGGATATATGGCATCAGATTCTGGGAACACAGGTACAGATTCTGTGAATTATGGCATCAGATTCTGAATCTCGTTCTGAGAATATTTATTTATAGAAACAACTTTATAGTTCAAAAGTTACCAATGATAGAACACTAAATCAGTGTCTGTATTCATTGAACCAACACAAGTTGGTTTATGCAAACTGTTACCAGATGAAAATTCCCATAATGGGGCAATTCCAACAAGTCAATGCTCCTAGACACAAGTATTTTCAATGGGCTTTATAGATTTAGATTCAAAATGAAGTTACATTTCCAGTAAAAGAAGTGTGTGAGCATTCCATATTTGAACACGCAATGTTTGAAAGTCAAAAGAAAAAAATTTGGTTACTCAAAATAGTTTTTGAATTATGAAATTCAAATGTGTGTATTATGACCATTATTATTCTCATTATTTAAATACCCTTTTTATTTTATTTTTTCTATTTTTTTAATGGAGCCTTTCGTTTAGCAAAATATATGGTTTTGAATGAAGAGCTTTGAATAATCATTTTGAATTATGTCTCATTTTGAATAATGTTTTGAATGAAATGTGTTTTGAATATATGGTTTGAATAAAGGATTTTGAATAATCATTTTGAAGGGTTTCGAATAAATCATTTTGAACAAACCGTTTTGAACAAAGTATTTTGAGTAGCGATTTGAATAAATCATTTAAAATAGCATTTTGAATAAACTGTTTTGAATAAACCGTTTTGAATAATCATTTTGAAGTGTTTTTTGAATAAATCATTTTGAACAAACCGTTTTGAACAAAGTATTTTGAGTAGCGATTTAACTAAATCATTTAAAATAGCGTTTTGAATAAACCGTTTTGAATAAATCATTTTGAAATGCAGTGTATTAGGAAATTTTGTTATTAATAATAATAATACCCCCGATAAATTTGTCTTATTGACTGAATTTGCAAAAACAACAACAGTATATAAAGGACCCCTTAGTAAGTTCTATTTTGTAAACACAAATTTCTTATAAATCACTAAAGTTGAAAATTTTTTCATAAATTTTGCCAATAAAAGTAATATTTTTCTTTTGACATGCATGAACGTATTTATAGAATTCAGTAGAAGAGGCATTATTAACATTGACCTTTACAAGAACTTTTTTACCCTGAACTAAACAAATTGTCATTGTTCCGATGATCATTATTATTATAAAGAAAACAATCTAATGACACCATAAAAAAAATTACCAGGATCTAATGGGTGCAAACTAGTTTGATTGGCATGTCTATCAATTGCGTATGTGATCAGATGTTTACGGCCTTGAACACTCCGGCCGTCACTCATACAAAAATTAGTTAGCATCCATGTTGATAAAAGTGTATACATTTTTGGTTTTCTGGAAGACATACAACATACAAGAACACTTGTCTATATACCCAGTTTAACTCACAACAACACTGGTCTATATCCAGTATAACTCACAAGAACACTGGTCTATATCCAGTATAACTCACAACAACACTGGTCTATAACCAGTATTACTCACAAAAACATTGGTCTATATCCAGTATAATTCACAAGAACATTGGTCTATATCCAGTATAACTCACAAGAACACTGGTCTATATCCAGTATAACTCACAAGAACACTGGTCTCTACTCAGTATAACTCACAAGAACACTGGTCTATATCCAGTATAACTTACCAAGAACATTGGTCTCTACTCAGTATAACTCACAAGAACACTGGTCTATATCCAGTATAACTCACAAGAACACTGGTCTATATCCAGTATAACTCACAAGAACACTGGTCTATATCCAGTATAACTTACCAAGAACATTGGTCTCTACTCAGTATAACTCACAAGAACAGTGGTCTATATCCAGTATAACTCACAAGAACACTGGTCTATATCCAGTATAACTCACAAGAACATTGGTCTATATCCAGTATAACTCACAAGAACATTGGTCTCTACTCAGTATAACTCACAAAAACACTGGTCTATATCCAGTATAACTCACAAGAACACTGGTCTATATCCCGTATAACTCTCAAGAACACTGGTCTATATCCAGTATAACTCACATGAACACTGGTCTATATCCAGTATAACTCACAAGAACACTGGTCTATATCCAGTATAACTCACAAGAACACTGGTCTATATCCAGTATAACTCACAAGAACACTGGTTTATACCAAATATAACTCACAAGAACACTGGTCTATATCCAGTATAACTCACAAGAACACTGGTCTATCTATACCCAGTATAACTCACAAGAACACTGGTCTATCTAGACCCAGTATAACTGACAAGAACATTGGTCTATCTAGACCCAGTATAACTCACAAGAACACTGGTCTATATCCAGTATAACTCACAAGAACATTGGTCTCTACTCAGTATAACTCACAAAAACACTGGTCTATATCCAGTATAACTCACAAGAACACTGGTCTATATCCTGTATAACTCTCAAGAACACTGGTCTATATCCAGTATAACTCACATGAACACTGGTCTATATCCAGTATAACTCACAAGAACACTGGTCTATATCCAGTATAACTCACAAGAACACTGGTTTATACCAAATATAACTCACAAGAACACTGGTCTATATCCAGTATAACTCACAAGAACACTGGTCTATCTATACCCAGTATAACTCACAAGAACACTGGTCTATCTAGACCCAGTATAACTCACAAGAACACTGGTCTATATCCAGTATAACTCACAAGAACATTGGTCTCTACTCAGTATAACTCACAAAAACACTGGTCTATATCCAGTATAACTCACAAGAACACTGGTCTATCTATACCCAGTATAACTCACAAGAACACTGGTCTATCTAGACCCAGTATAACTCACAAGAACACTGGTCTATATCCAGTATAACTCACAAGAACATTGGTCTCTACTCAGTATAACTCACAAAAACACTGGTCTATATCCAGTATAACTCACAAGAACACTGGTCTATATCCAGTATAACTCACAAGAACATTGGTCTCTACTCAGTATAACTCACAAGAACACTGGTCTATATCCCGTATAACTCTCAAGAACACTGGTCTATATCCAGTATAACTCACATGAACACTGGTCTATATCCACTATAACTCACAAGAACACTGGTCTATATCCAGTATAACTCACAAGAACACTGGTCTATACCCGATAAAACTCACAAGAACACTGGTCTATATCCAGTATAACTCACATGAACACTGGTCTATATCCACTATAACTCTCAAGAACACTGGTCTATACAGTATTATAATTATAATTTACTAGTCTTAGAGGTCTGCGAAATGAATGACCAAAAAACAAAGTGTCTTTTGAATCACCAAACACAATATGAGTAGTTTGAATGGGATCCTATAGTTACTGATACACTTGAAAGCAATATTTTCGGAATGCTTGTATTTTATCGATTCTCATGAATAGTTTGACAAAAATGATTAATGAGGTAGCAAAAGAGCCATGACTTTTAAGTGTTTCATAAGGGTTGTAAAACTCAATAATGCGTATCATTTGCATATTAATAAGTAATGAAATTTACATTTTAGCTTTAAAATTTATTTAATATATGAATAATCAGGTATATTTCACTCACACTGATGAAAAAAAAGATGGAAATTTACAATGTAGTTTATTGGAAGGAAAGATATCAGGCAAAACAGGTTATGACAAAGACAGAACTGGCAGTGGGTGGACAACATGATACAATGAACCAATAACTATCGCGAATATACAAGAATTCACAAAACAGAACTGCTGGTATCAACTGATTTTACATCTCCCTTGAGAAAATGGAAATATTAAGAAGAAGAAGAATGATGATGTTGAAGAAGAAAATTTAAATGTATTCACTATAAAAATGGTGAAGAAATTGTGCACCAAAATCCTGCCCTGAAAAAAAATGGTTTAAAGTAAAAAAACAAAGGCTAGAATCATCTCTATTTTATTATATACTCTATAGGTTCATTAAATAATGAGCAGTATGATGTCTGATCATGTGACCACATATTGTTGTAATGTTCACAAACTTAGTAATTGTTCAAGGATAATGACCTACAAAGTTATATGACATATGCAGACAGCCGTGGCTAACAAAGACAATGAAATGAGAGCATAATTGCAGTATAACTAGTGTCTGGTACATTGTTTATTTCAGATAATTGGAACTTTGAGGTTTATGCATTTTTAACCCTTTGAATGCCAAATTTGTTGACGTTCAAAATTATTGTAAATTTATTCACATTTTTTGTAATTTTCACTGAATTCAGTCTTAATTTTGGACCAAACAGACCTAAAATAGCACTGTTTTTAATTTTTGATCAAATGATTTGACATTTCTGTGAAAAAGAGCAGACTAGAAATGGAACATTCCTGGAACTATTTTGTGGATGGTGCCTAAAACTGACTGAAAGCACTCAGAAGCTTAAACAAATTCAGGATATTGGGGTGGATCAACCAAGCATTATATTCATATGATTACTTGCCATGTCATCATAAATACAGTAAAATACTTTATTTTCACTTTGCACTAATTTTCGCTATTTTTGCTGAAGGAATGATACTGTGAAAATAAAATCCGGCAAATATACCTTTTTTCCTATATTTTACATTCAACTCGTCAACAATCAGTGAAAATAAACTCCAAACAAAATACCCCAAAAAAGTCTTTTAAGCTAAAATTAATTCCAGCTAAAATAAAGTATTTTACACTAGATATTTGTGGGAATATTATAGTGATTATTACACAATTATGATGTGAACGAGGATGAACCAAGATGGCAAATTTGATGATGTACTTATAGACATAATAATCATGTAACACTGAAAGCTACAGTCTATTCTAAAAAAAAATGAAAATGTCACGATAGTGAGTGATACAAATTCAAGTTCCAGGTGTTCTGACAGCACAATAAATGAAAAACAGAGGAGAGTCAGGGGATATCTACTCAATTTCCCCACCCCCACTGGAGAATAAATTTATAAATTCTACACTGCCTATACAAGCTATGGAAATTAAACAGTTAATAAAAACTGAATAAATTGAATCATTCAGCATCCCCCTCTGAGCTAAAATAATAAACTATGATGACATTATCGACATAATAGAGATG